GACACGACCAGGGTCCACAGACACGACCAGGGTCCACAGAGACGACCAGGGACCACAGACACGACCAGGGTCCACAGAGACGACCAGGGACCACAGACACGACCAGGGTCCACAGACACGACCAGGGTCCACAGACACGACCAGGGTCCAGACACGACCAGGGTCCAGACACGACCAGGGTCCACAGACACGACCAGGGACCACAGACGCGACCAGGGTCCACAGGCACGACCAGGGTCCACTGACACGACCAGGGTCCACAGACACGACCAGGGACCACAGACACGACCAGGGACCACAGGCACGACCAGGGACAACAGGCACGACCAGGGACCACAGGCACGACCAGGGACCACAGGCACGACCAGGGACCACAGACACGACCAGGGACCACAGACACGACCAGGGACCACAGACACGACCAGGAACCACAGACCCGACCAGGGACCACAGACACAACCAGGGTCCACAGACACGACCAGGGACCACAGGCACGACCAGGGATCACAGACACGACCAGGGTCCACAGACACGACCAGGGTCCACAGACACGACCAGGGACCACAGACACGACAAGGGTCCAGACACGACAAGGGACCACAGACACGACAAGGGACTACAGACACGACGACAAGGGTTAAAATCGAGTCCAAGCGATGTTAAAAGCTCTGTACCTCAAGGTACAGTCCTTGCACCGCTACTGTTCCTTATTCTCATATCTGATATAGACAAAAATACACGCCACAGCTTCGTGTCGTCCTTTGCAGATGACACAAAAATCAGCATGAAAATTACCTCTGCTGAAGACATTGAAAAACTACAAGCAGATGTCAACAAAGTTTTTGATTGGGCAGCAGAAAATAACATGATGTTTAACAGTGATAAATTTCAGGTACTCAGGTACAGCAAAAATGAGGATCTGAAACATAATACAGGGTACAAAACACAATCGAATCTTCCCATAGTAGAAAAACAGCATGTCAAGGATTTGGGAATAATGATGTCCGACGATCTAACGTTTAGGGAGCATAACCAAGCAAATATCGCGTCAGCCAGAAAAATGATCGGATGGATTACGAGAACTTTCAAATCCAGGGATCCCATCACAATGGTTGTACTCTTCAAGTCACTTGTGCTGTCCCGTCTCGAGTACTGCTCAGTACTCACTTCCCCTTCAGAGCAGGAGAGATTGCTGAAATAGAGGGAATACAGAGAACATATACGGCACGCATAGACGAGATAAAACACCTAAAGTATTGGGATCGTCTCAAAGCTCTCCAAATGTACTCTCTAGAAAGGAGACGAGAGAGATACCAAATAATATACACATGGAAAATACTGGAGGGTCAGGTCCCAAATCTACACAGTAAAATAACAACGTACTGGAGAGAACGATATGGAAGAAAATGCAAGATTGAACCAGTGAAGAGCAGAGGTGCCATAGGCACAATCAGAGAGCACTGTATAAACATCAGGGGTCCGCGGTTGTTCAACGTCCTCCCAGCAAGCATAAGAAATATTGCCGGAACAACCGTGGACATCTTCAAGAGAAAACTGGACGGTTTTCTAAGAGAAGTTCCGGATCAGCCGGGCTGTGGTGGGTACGTGGCCCTGCGGGCCGCTCCAAGCAACAGCCTGGTGGACCAAACTCTCACAAGTCGAGCCTGGCCTCGGGCCGGGCTTGGGGAGTAGAAGAACTCCCAGAACCCCATCAACCAGGTATCAACCAGGGTCCACAGACGCGACCAGAGACCACAGACACGACCAGAGACCACAGTGACTCCAAAACAACTACCATGCGGGCTACTCAGGTCCGTGCCTTATCTTGTGGCGGCTTAATCTTCATCGCTCAATCAGTGAACAGGTGCGACACGGGTCTTCCTGGAGCAGCAGGTGTCCCGGGTGGTGGGACCTCTGGCCGGACACTTCAGCCCAAGACTCGCACGGACAAGCACGGCCTGTAAGGCAAGGTTGTCCAGGCGAAGAGTAATTATAAATGCTGAAAAAGATATGGCCACATACATGGCCATATCCCCCCACATATATGACGAGCAGGAACGGGCCACATACATGGCCCATACGAGCAGGAACGGGCCACATACATGACCCGTTCGAGCAGGAACGGGCCACATACATGGCCCACAAAGGCTCGCACCAAGAACACGGATATTTCGTTGCTAGTAGAGGTGGTTGGAGGCGCGAGGCGGCCCGGCCAGGCGGCGCAGCCAGGCCTTATCTACCCCCAGTGTAAACGCCGGCTTCTTATCAACAGAATTCCGCCATTAGCTATGGCTGCAGCTTAAGTATCGTATTTAAAACAAGTATTCGGGATCCTGCGGTATCAAAAATGATTCATATGAACATTTTCTTAATTAAATAAGCGGAACAGAACCAGTACGGAGGATGGACCACCAAGGGTGAGTTGCTGTGGTGGTAAGGTGGTGGTGGTGGTGTGCTCTCTCTCTCTCTCTCTCTCTCTCTCTCTCTCTCTCTCTCTCTCTCTCTCTCTCTCTCTCTCTCACTCTCTCACTCCTCTCTCTCTCTCACTCCTCTCTCTCTCTCACTCCTCTCTCTCTCTCTACCTCTCCCGGTTTCTTAGTTCTTTACTATTCCTTTACTTACTCCTCCCAAACTGTAAATTCTGATTCAATTTGTATGTGAGGTATGAGTGTGGTCCTGGGCACGGAGCCTCTGTGCTTCATAAGTAATGTAGACGCGACCAGGAAAACCTGCACCAGGCTCCCCCTTGACACCTGCACCAGGCTCCCCCTTGACACCTGCACCAGGCTCCCCCTTGACACCTGCACCAGGCTCCCCCTTGACACCTGCACCAGGCTCCCCCTTGACACCTGCACCAGGCTCCCCCTTGACACCTGCACCAGGCTCCCCCTTGACACCTGCACCAGGCTCCCCCTTGACACCTGCACCAGGCTCCCCCTTGACACCTGCACCAGGCTCCCCCTTGACACCTGCACCAGGCTCCCCCTTGACACCTGCACCAGGCTCCCCCTTGACACCTGCACCAGGCTCCCCCTTGACACCTGCACCAGGCCCTCCCTTGACACCTGCACCAGGCCCTCCCTTGACACCTGCACCAGGCTCCCCCTTGACACCTGCACCAGGCTCCCCCTTGACACCTGCACCAGGCTCCCCCTTGACACCTGCACCAGGCTCCCCCTTGACACCTGCACCAGGCTCTCCCTTGACACCTGCACCAGGCTCTCCCTTGACACCTGCACCAGGCTCCCCCTTGACACCTGCACCAGGCTCCCCCTTGACACCTGCACCAGGCTCCCCTTGACACCTGCACCAGGCTCCCCCTTGACACCTGCACCAGGCTCCCCCTTGACACCTGCACCAGGCTCCCCCTTGACACCTGCACCAGGCTCCCCCTTGACACCTGCACCAGGCTCTCCCTTGACACCTGCACCAGGCTCCCCCTTGACACCTGCACCAGGCTCCCCCTTGACACCTGCACCAGGCTCCCCCTTGACACCTGCACCAGGCTCCCCCTTGACACCTGCACCAGGCTCCCCCCTTGACACCTGCACCAGGCCCTCCCTTGACACCTGCACCAGGCCCTCCCTTGACACCTGCACCAGGCCCTCCCTTGACACCTGCACCAGGCCCTCCCTTGACACCTGCACCAGGCTCTCCCTTGCCACCTGCACCAGGCGCTCCCTTGACACCTGCACCAGGCTCCCCCTTGACACCTGCACCAGGCTCCCCCTTGACACCTGCACCAGGCTCTCCCTTGACACCTGCACCAGGCTCTCGCTTGACACCTGCACCAGGCTCTCGCTTGACACCTGCACCAGGCTCTCCCTTGACACCTGCACCAGGCTCTCCCTTGACACCTGCACCAGGCTCTCCCTTGACACCTGCACCAGGCTCTCCCTTGACACCTGCACCAGGCTCCCCCTTGACACCTGCACCAGGCTCTCCTTTGACACCTGCACCAGGCTCTCCCTTGACACCTGCACCAGGCTCTCCCTTGACACCTGCACCAGGCTCTCCCTTGACACCTGCACCAGGCTCTCCCTTGACACCTGCACCAGGCTCTCCCTTGACACCTGCACCAGGCTCTCCCTTGACACCTGCATCTGGCTCTCCCTTGACACCTGCACCAGGCTCTCCCTTGACACCTGCACCAGGCTCTCCCTTGACACCTGCACCAGGCTCTCCCTTGACACCTGCATCTGGCTCTCCCTTGACACCTGCACCAGGCTCTCCCTTGACACCTGCATCTGGCTCTCCCTTGACACCTGCACCAGGCTCTCCCTTGACACCTGCACCAGGCTCTCCCTTGACACCTGCACCAGGCTCTCCCTTGACACCTGCACCAGGCTCTCGCTTGACACCTGCACCAGGCTCTCGCTTGACACCTGCGCCAGGCTCTCGCTTGACACCTGCACCAGGCTCTCGCTTGACACCTGCGCCAGGCTCTCCCTTGACACCTGCACCAGGCTCTCCCTTGACACCTACACCACCCGCAAGCTCTCCACCACCCTACACTACCCCGTACAGGGCCAGTACCCACACAGCTGTACAGGGCGAGTAACACAGTACCCACACAGCTGTACACGGCCAGTAACACAGTACCCACACAGCTGTGCAGGGCCAGTAACACAGTACCCACACAGCTGTACAGGGCCAGTAACACAGTACCCACACAGCTGTACAGGGCGAGTAACACAGTACCCACACAGCTGTACACGGCCAGTAACACAGTACCCACACAGCTGTACAGGGCGAGTAACACAGTACCCACACACCATAACACGTTATCTTAACATGCTGGCCAACTTTGCGGGGACATTAAACACTAAAAGTACCGCGTCAAGAGCGCCCTAAGAGTCTTGTCCCCAAGACTTGAATATATTATACATGTAAATAATGAAGTGGTGAATTTTAGTGTAAAAGTTTGGCAACTTGCACAAGAGGTGGTTGACGTAGGCGTCAGCAGAAGGTCATGACCACACAGACACAGCATAGCGTACCTCACTTGGAGAAGGATTCCTCATCCATGTCTGAAGACCCTTTGGAGGAAAAGGAGGATGAAGAATTGCCCGCACCACCCGAAGAAGAACTGCAGTTGAACGAGGCTGAGGCCGGGCTGTGAGCCACGCCTCCGCCCCCGCTGCTGCTGCTGCTGCTACTCCGTCGGCTGCTGCGTCTGGTACCACCGCCACCGCCGCCGCTGCTGCTGCTGCTGCGGTAGGTCGGCTCCACAGCTCCTGAGGGAAGCGCCGAGAACAACGTTCCAATTAGGTTTTATTTATGCCAAGCAAAGTTTAATGGTGAGGAGAGTGTAGCGGGGGAGGTGTTGCGGGCCACACCAGCCACACACTCCGCACTGGTAAACACACCAATTATGCTTCATGTGCACCAATATTAACGTCTCCAAGTTTTTATATAGAGTGCGGACGGTTGTGGAGGTGTGAGTGGAAGAGACTCACCAGGCAGCGGCGTGTGGAGCTCCACCTTGACCTTGGCTGTGGCGGTGACCTTAGTGGTGATGTGGTGGTCGTGGTGACCCTCCCCCAGGTAAGTCGTCCCGGGCGACGTGGTCGTCTCCACGACCACTTGAGGTTCCACCACTATTTCGTGTGAGGACCTGAGCGACTGCGACGACCGGGTGGACGACGACGGCTCCTCCGTGATGGTGGTGAGGGAGAGGTTGGAGCCGTGCAGGCGCGGGTACAGGGACGACGACCCTCCCCCGGAACCACTCGAGCGGCGACAACTCCTCCCGCCAGAGCCGCTACGACCCCCGCTCCGTCGCGATGACCCGCTGTGGGAGTGGGCGTGGGTGGGCTGCGGCGAGGGCGGGGGCGTGGGCGTCGGGAGGCGGTCGGGATGGTTCCTAGGCACAACTTCAGCAGGAGGACCCACCAGCGAGAGCAGCACCGGCAGGAAGACCAGACCGTCGAGGACCCCGAGCACCGTCAGCGCCAGCAGCACGTAGAAGAAGTACCTGAAGAACACACCAGAACATCACGATAACAACACACGTCGTTCACCACACCTGCACAAGCAACACCGGTGGGGAAAGGAAGGGAACTGGCAGGAGAAAGCGCCAAGTTCTGCTCTCCCAAGCCAAGTTTGGGAGAGCACATGTGTATGTACATGTGTGTACTCACCTATTTGTGCATGAAAGATCGAGCATTAGCTCTTGGACCCCCTCATTGGCTCTAGCCGCCGTTTGTTTACAGCAATGACTGGTCCTATTTCCCTATTATATCTAGTTTTAAAATTATGAATAGTGTTTGCTTCCACAAGCTGCTCCTTCCATTCCACAAGTGCATTCCATTTCCCCACAACTCTCACGCTAAATATAAACTTTCTAAAATCTCTATGACTCATCTCAGTTTCCACCCATGTTTCATTGTTCTGTTTTTATTCCGTGTGAACATTTCGTTTATTTCTACTTTGTCAATCCCTCCCCCCCCCCCACCCTGAGTATTGTGTATGCTGCTATCATATCATCCCGCTCCCTCCTTTTTTCTAACGTCGTAAGGTTCAGTTCCTTCAGTCGCTCTTCATACCCCATCCCTCGTAACGCTGGGACGAGCCTCGTCGCAAATTTCTGAACCTTTTCCAGTTTCCTCATGTGTTTCTTCAGGTGGGGACTCCATGATGGGGCTGCATACTCTAAGACTGGTCTCACGTAGGCAAGGTAAAGCGCCCTAAATGCCTCCTTACTTACGTTTCTGAATGACGTAACTTTTGCTAGTGTAGAGTACGCTGCTGTCGTAATCCTATTTATACGTGTCTCAGGAGTTAGATTTGGTGTTATGTCACTCCCAGGTCCCTTTCTAGAATCGTCACAGGAAGGTTGTTCCCCTTCATTGTGTACTGTCCCTTTGCTCTCCTGTCACCTAGTCCTATTTCCATAACTCTACACCTGCTTGTGTTGAACTCCATTAGCCATTTATCTGACCATGTCTGCAGCTTGTTCTAGTCCTCTTGGAGGATCCTACAATCCTCATCTGCCACAACTCATACCATTAATTTCGCGTAATCTGCGAACATCAACATATAGGACTCCTGTAGACGTACGTGTGCGTACGTGTGCGTGCGTGCGTGCGTGCGTGCGTGCATGCGTGCGTGCGTGCGTGCGTGCGTGCGTGCGTGCGTGCGTGCGTGTGTGTGTGTGTGTGTGTGCCTGTATTCACCTAGTTGTGTTTGCGGGGGTTGAGCTCTGCTCTTTCGGCCCGCCTCTCAACTGTCAATCAACTGTTTACTAACTACTTTTGGACGGGGATAAACCTGTCTGCAGCTTCCTGGCACTTCTGGGTGACAAAATCCATCATGACCTGCACATTCTTGTCTCTAAGTTCTGTTTCCCAGGTGTGTGTGTGCGCGTGTGTGCGTGTGTGCGTGTGTGCGTGCGTGCGTGAGTGCGCGCGCGCGGGACGGTGGTTGGATCATGGGTGGAAGAACAACTAATGAATCCCAACATTGGCGGCCCTAATATGGTCACCCCTGCCCTGTACCCTGCTGTACCCCGCCCCGCACCCTCTACACCCTGCTGTACCCCGCCCCGCACCCCCTGCACCCTGCTGTACCCCGCCCCGCACCCCCTGCACCCTGCTGTACCCCGCCCCGCACCCCCTACACCCTGCTGTACCCCGCCCCGCACCCCCTACACCCTGCTGTACCCCGCCCCGCACCCCCTGTACCCTGCTGTACCCCGCCCCGCACCCCCTACACCCTGCTGTACCCCGCCCCGCACCCCCTGCACCCTGCTGTACCCCGCCCCGCACCCCCTGCACCCTGCTGTACCCCGCCCCGCACCCCCTGCA